TCCCTCCCTCCCTCCCTCCCTCACTCGCACACTCGATCATGTCATGGCTTCCGGCACGAATCCATGGGTCGGAAAAGCAGAGGGTGATTCGGACGAGTATGCAGATCAAGCATGCGTGCAACGAATGCTTGCTGTTTCAGCTCATGCCGTGCAGTCAGCGGGAATTTTGGGGAAGAATGCGAGTGGGTATCCGTGCCCTGATTGCAGGAAACAAAACAGCTACGTGTGGACCCAAGTTAACTTGCAGGGCTTGACATTTCACCCTTATGTGATCGAATGACTGCATGATCGAAAGTTCAGCTCAAGAGCCTGATCACGCGAGTCTCTGAAATCAGCAACAGAAATGCCACAAGGATGCCATCATCATTGGCGCAGGGGTGATTGGAAATTCCATTGCGACCGAGCTTTCTCGCAACGGCTGGTGTGGGCCCCATCCGTTGCTGTTGGGGTTGATCGGCTAAAACTTTGCAAGTGCCAGAGACTGATGTCAGATTACAGGCCTTGACGGTTAACACATTCTTGGCCTGAAGCTGGAGAATCCGAGAAGTGTCCAAACTCTTATAAGGCGCACGCTCAACGTCGACAAGCTTCCTGGAGCTGGTCAGGGCTCGACAGGTGCGTACACGGCGCACATCCTTCGTTTAGCTCGCTACTCACACTCCATGCCTTGAGCTGGAAGAGGTTGCTGGCTGTTCTGCTGTCTGGTCACCAAAAACATCAATCGCCGTTTCATCCACTCCATCCATCCATCCATGCGCCCATCCAGGCTACTCTTCCGGCATTTGCCGCACGATGTGCGAACCTCAGTTCCGTTCCGTTTCAGCCCTTCTCGGTTTGCAGCTCCGGGTGAACCCATGGGTGCTACGCGATTACACTCCTTCGTCTCTGCCTCGAGCGAGGTACAGCTTGCTGGATAGCGTGAGATTTGCCTGGGCATCCTGTCCGCAGGTTTAGAAGGTGTAGCATAGCTGCAGTCGATTCTGGGTGGCGCTGAGTCGGAGCCTCCGAGCATCTCAGGAAGGCTATACGTACTTCGACAACTGGGAGGAACATATCGGTGTGAAGGCACAAGACACCGGACATAGGGCAGTGGCACACAGCAGGTCATCATGTCGGGAACATCCTCAGGGCGCATGGCACGGCACGAAGAAGCCCGGCAATTGGCAGGTTGGAACTGTATTGCCGCAGCTGTCCCATTCAAGAGGACAGCCAGCCGACAGCGGCAACCGATCATGACCGTGAAATTCAATTCAAGAAATCATGCAAGGTTTCGGCGTGCAGACACCATACATCAGACAGTCAGCCAAGTAGAAACTCTTGTGAAAATCTGCACAAGTGCATCACCTCTTAGCTAGGTTAAAGTGAACGCAGCAAGCTTTCACATGGCTGAGAGCGTCGCGGACGACCTCGAACCCCGTCTAGGCGCCAGCGACGTTGAGCAACATTGACCTTGCTCTGTGTTACCAAAGACTTGACTAGACGGCCTGCGGAGTCATGACAATCCAAGCCAAGAACTAAACAGCAGCAAGCTGCAGGCCGGGGCGTTCGGCTTCCCCAGCCCCTGGGCACGGCATGGGCCTGAGCACAACTCGGGTCAACGTGCCCATCTTCTATAAGCGGGGGCATGCAGAGCATGGAATGGGGCGGGTCTCAGGGCTTGCAGGATTCCGTTGCTTGTGAGATTATCCACGGGCTGCGAAGTGCACGAGTTTCCGATTGCATTGCGCATTGCAGTTAACTAAGTCACTAATTAAGTACATGCCTTAATATCTTACCACGACATTTTTCGTTGTTGCAGACACCTACTGGTATGTGTATATTGCATACAATATACACACAGCACAGACTTATACATACGTGGCCACATAGTGTCTGTCTGTGTGCCCGCGCTGAGATTCGGCTTTTCCCACTTCTGCCGAAGGCAAGGTTGGAGAATCAAAGCAAGTGTCACTACAGCTTGCAGATCAAGAGTCGGCAATTTGAGTGCAACGGGAGGTCTCAGCAGGAATGCATGTAGTCCGGACAGCAGAAGCAGTCATACATCAGTCAAGAGTGCCAACCAAGTTCTGGCCATGCCGATCTCAGAATACCAAGAGTTGTGGCACATGCTTAGACTCCTGGGCAGAGGTTCCAGGCAGCGGCACGGTGCTCATTCTGCATGGTGAACAACAGGACCATCCATTTGGGCTGTGATTGCGTACTGCTACAGCAGTGACCGGCCGCCAGTGCAGATTTCGTTAGGACGGCAGCGTGCTGTGCTCATACATCACGTCGTTCTGCGCAGTGCTGCATGTGTTGTTCTGAGAGGAGTCCTTTCAGACAGCAGTGATGTCGTGAATGCATTGTCGGTCGGGATACGCGGTCATACTGTGCACTTTACTCTGCCGACTCGTCGAAGAGATCATGTTTCTGTAGCACCGTAGCACCAGCATCGGTTTCTACCAGCAGTATAGTTGACCGTGTCATCATGCCGCCTCTCCAGTCCACGAAGCTCAGGAGGACTGGCTTGGCAACCGCAGCAAAGGCGAGACTTTCAGGGTCGATCGTAGACCCGTTGCCATCCGCGGGATGCAAGATATTGTCAATGCTTCAAGCTTCGCAAGCCTTCGCGCTCTGAGACGGGGCCACGCCTGGCGGCGCCACGGCCCTGGGATTGGCATTGCGAGGCCCTCCCAAGCGGCTAATACTATTACTCCTGGAGAGTGCTCTAAATGCTCGCTTGCACTCCTACCGGCTCTGCTCGGCCAGGCCTCGGTTTCACAGCCGTGTGCCCTGGCAGAAACTTCTCGTGAACTTTTCCTTCCGAGTGATGCAGAAGTGAATTTCTTTTGCGCTTTGTAGGCTCTTGGATTCCTTCTTCGATGATCGGTGCAACCGTCTCGGGAAGGCCGGATAAGTAACCCTTTCTGGCAGTGACGAACGTGCTTCACGGTCTTCCTGGACCGCAGGCACTCGACCGCCGAGCGGCTGGGATCGAAAAGAAAAGTGCAGCTCATGGAAATGCCTTCGTAGGACTCTGTGTCTGCATGTCGGATTGTGCGCCTGACAGCCTGCCTGCCTGTCTGTCAGTCTGTCTGTCTGTCTGTCTGTGTCTGTCTCTTTCTCTCTCCCTCTCTCTGTGTTGTGTGGCTGCATGTGAGATGGTTTGGTGCCGGAGATGCATGGGAAGGGTTTCAAGGCTTCAGGACCCGCTTGCGTTGGCACTTCAAGTTGGCACCTTATGGAACTTGACGAGGTCTCAGATATTTTAGCAGCCTTGGCATATTTACAATCCCGCAGCCTGGCATGCATTCGCCTACACCTTTTTGTACCTTTCAAGGATTCAGCAAACAGTGGAACCGTCTTACAGGCAATTTTCCTCCTCCTTACCACCTCTACGGCCAGAGACAAGGCTGGCCTGCAAAAGGGAATCGTGGAAAGATGCGGGGTGGCATGTGCGCCCTTAGTAGACTTATGAGAAGGGAGGGAGGGAGGGAGGGAGGG